ATCTTAGCAAATGACCCTGTTCCTTCCCTTCCTAGATGTTAGGGTTAGTTGGAGGAAAGGGGTGGGAGAATATTTCCCTTAACTAGTACAAAACATCTGGATTTCCAGATTATAGAGATTTAGAAGAGCAATATGCTAGAAATGAGGTTGTAGTGCTGAAAATCTGGCAGAGTTCAAAAGTAATTCATTGTTATGGTTTTCTTGCAGAATAATACACACCATTACATGAATTAGAAAATATGCTCTGTAGATGAGAAGGTAAGTTGACATAATAGTGTTACTACCTTATTCTAATTCCCCTAAATGCTCGTGATTTTTCAAGAGAACTTCAAAATTGAAAAAAATAATTTAAAAAAATGTTTCCCCACAGGTTTCTGTATCTGACCTATCCAGGTCAATTTATGCTATCTCTGACAGTTACGAATAACTTCTACTTTCCCCACAGAGAAAAATACTAATACAAAACTTGAAAGTAAAATGGAAAAGCAAAGTCCTATCCAAATTGTGGGCTGCTTAAACCAAGTCAGTCCATCCCAGAAATTCCCCCTGTCCGTTACCCTTGCCCACGATCTTGCTTTTAGAAAATACCTAGTTAACATCACGCGAAGACCCTAACTCTTGGACAACACCACCCCAACCCCCGCCTCAGAGGTGGAATGACATGCTGTGCCTCTGGCTACATTTGGCCTTGGACCAAAAAGCAGCTACCCCTGAAGCTGATGAGACATTATATCAGGAAGAAATGCTCTGGGAGAAAGAAACAGAATGTGAGGTCAGAAAAACTCCATCTGAGACTGACAAGATTATCTGGAATCAGCCGCCCTGGGGGTGGTAAAATGGGATGATACTCCTTAACTCTCAGGGTAATCAGAAAATCAAATGAGATGACAGCATGAAAGCATTTTGTAAAGTGTTAAGTACTTCATAAATGCAACAAAGAGCTGTTTTCCAACTTCACTGATCCTGCGTTGATTCAATGTCCTTCACTATATAGAACAATTTCTTCCCTTGAGTTATTTGGGATGGACATCAGAAAGCCTCCTGGGCATTCCTCTAGGAGCCATGTCTGTGGTGAGCGTCAGAGCTGACAGAAACCCATTCCAGCCTCTCCAGCTGGCGTCCAGAGGGGGGAGGGAGGGGGCTGACTTCCTCCTCTCAAGTTTTGCTAATTGCATCTTTTGAAGCCCACACTCCATTCTTCCTTTTTAAAAATGTATTATGCCTTTTCCTCCCCAGCTATCTGAGACCCGACCACAGCAAACGCATACCAACCTTTCAAGTTAAAGACCTGTAACAAAGCTGGCGAGTTCTAGGCCCGCTACTCTTCCCCACTCCCTGTTTTCCACAGCAGGCCTTAACGAAAACCAGCCTAAAACTTGAGAGAGAGAAAAGACTTTGTGTCTACCCCTAGAGACAGCGCTGGACATTCACAATGACCTCACTTTCCCGCTGCTTCCTCGCTCAGCCTGACGCCTAGGTCTTTGCTCCAGCGGGGCGCACTCAAATGCACACGGACACACACACCGGTAAGCGGGTCAACCGCAGACAAATCTGACTCTTCGCCAACTTGTAGCCACGGATAGCTGCAAAGGGACTGAGGCCCTCCACTGTCTGCTCCAAACAGACACTGCAACCTCCCGCGGCGCCGCAGTAGCTGCCTCTGTGCTGCAGCCTCCGGCTGGAGTTTCAAGTCTAATTCCTTAAGGAGTATCGCTCCTCTCTGCCCTCCATCCTACTCCCCTTGGCTTCGCCCACTTCGCCTCTTCTCCTCGGGGGCTGGGAGGAACCGGGTTACTTTGCCACTTCTGCAAAGGGGGAAGTAGCAGTGAAGGGGATTCCCGTCCCCAAGTAGCCCGAAGCCCACTACTCTTTGCCCCACCTCTCGACTCTGCCGCCCGTGTAGGTGCCCGTGCTGCTGGCGAAGGTCCCGGTTCTCAAGGTGCCTGAGCTTCGAGGGGGTGCGGGGGGCCCAGGTGGGAAGAGCAGCGGCGGGACGATGGCGAGGAACGGCTCGAGGATGTTCGAGGACAGATGGGGCGGGACTGGGGAGAAGGGCGAAGGCGACGCGCCCAGGCACTCTCCCGCCCCTTGCGCGCAGATGGTTACTCCGGAACGCGCGGCCGGGCCACGCCGGAAAGGCCTTTTCTCCTTGTCCCCTCCCTTCTCTTCCCCGCTCCCCGCCTGGACACCCGGCGAAAAAGCAAGGTGCGGGCGTACCTGGAGCGAACACCATGATTTCCTCCAGCCGCTACGCCCCTGGATTAAGAGAGAAAGACAGGCAGACGGAGGACGGGAGGGCGGCCGGGACTCGGCGGGTCCGGCGCGGGAGGGCGCGCACTGCGCGGGCGGGACGGTCAGCACCTCGGACAGCTCCGGCCGCGCGACCCCGGGCTGCAGCTCCGGCCGCCGCGGCGCGCTCGGCCTGCACAATGCACCGCTGCGCCCGCGGCCACCGCGGCGGCGGGAGGAGGAGACCGAGTCCCCGCTCAGCGCATCCCTCATGCCTGTGCCAGCGCCGCGC